GCTCATTGGTGGGGCCCGATGGATTATCTTTCATCATAAGCAGTTTTGTATGTCTATACACCCCCTTTTCAGATGGAGCCCCCCTCCTCATAAATGGGATCTATTGTAAAACCAGTGGCTGGTGCAATGTTAGTCGGCCACATCTACCACCAAATTTCATGCTGCTAGGTGCATCCCAAAATTGTATTGTTGTGGGTGGGGGTTGAAGGGGGATGGGGTCTCATTGGTGGGCCTGATGGATAGCCCTTCATCAGAGAAAAACAACCAAAAAATCTGAATCTCCTGGATTAAATTAAATACACAACATGATACATACTGTTGCAACATAAAAAAACAATAAGATTTTAGTTCAACTTGTATAATTTTTTTTCACACATGGAACTGACTAGCCTGGCCCTTGCCTCCCTACGCAGCTCCACTCCCACTGAGATGGATTTCGCTGGCAGATTTTTAGCCGGGCCAATCAGAGAACAGAACGTCAATTTTTTGTGCAGTGTCTGCTTGTAGTTTATTTTACCTGGGCCAATCAGAGAACAGAAGGAGGAGTTTTGAATGGCGTCGATGTTCTGCGCAGTGTCTGCTAGTTATTTTAACAAACGGCAGTGGAGGAATGAATGAAGTCAGTCTGTGTTGATAAAGCTTCCAAATTAAATTAAATTTGTCTGACAAAGCAGCAGCTCTCATTTACAGTCATCTCTTTTGGCTCGGCACTTTTCTCCTCTCAGTAGGGTTGTTGACAGCACTCACAATTTTCTGTTAGCTTCTTAGCTTAGCCTCCTTCACACCAACAACACAGACATGCTTCAGCAGAGGCCACGCCTCCTGCAAGAAATCGATTCTCTATGCATCAAGTCCAGACCCTCGTACGAAGCAAAGTGAAGGACAGGGTCTGGTTTGAACCAGGCTAGGAACTGACAAACCTTTCACTTGAAATCTAAACACATTCAATGGAATACTGATACTTGTATCAATACTGGTTTTGCTATCAGTTCTGGGTATAGGGGGATTTCGTACAAGTACCAGCACTTAGTATTGGTATCATTACGGATACTGATACTGGTATCAGTATTGGAACATCACTAATAAATTCAAAAGTCTTTGAGATAACTATATAGTAAGCAGCAGAAACTCTGAAATACGTATGTGGTTCCACTAGGTCACAATGGCATTATTAAAACACTTTCTGATCAACTTATGGCTTGTTCTCCTTTTGATTGTGTACTGAAATGACCAAAAATGACAGAAAATAGTAATTATTGTTTAAAGCTGTCAAAATCATTAAAATTTCACAAGAAGTAAAAAAAAGTGCAATGCTGCGTCCTGCTGTCTAAAGATCTTTTACAAGTCTTGACGGTGCAAACTTCTTCCTAAATTTTCTTAAACGGGCAATATCAGTAAAATCAACTTTTTTTAATTTTATATCATGTTATAATGTTATACTCTCATAAAAAACATGCCCAAAGCCTTG